CTGTTCAGATGAGCTGTTACTTTTGACATGTTAGGACTAGCCAGTTAGTTGCAACAGCAGCACTGGTGTTCAGGAATACTCACATCATGGCTGGGAGGACGTAGAGGGATTGTGGGATAAGGGCATTAAAGGAAATTTAAGGGGACTGTCCAAAGGAGACACTGAACTCTTTAAATTGTGTATTCTGTAGGCTATGGCTCTCTGGGGATGATGACCAGCGTGCTGATCTGCCCTGATGGCAAGACTGTTGAAGCAGAAGCTGCTCATGGCACAGTCACTCGTCACTACCGCATGCACCAGAAGGGCCAAGAAACGTCCACTAACCCCATTGGTGAGTTGCTTTTCACTGCTCTTCAGTGATCTCCACACATGAAAGAAAGGGTTTGGAGATGCCCTGCATCCTTTCTGCAGGGAATTGCACCACTGAGTGGCGAAACAGGTAGTTAATTCATAATGCATTTTTCTTCCATGGAGACAGCTGTAGCCTAGAGCAAAACCAGACTGGAATGGAGTGAGTGTGAGCAATAAGCTAGACCTAATCAAGCCTTTGAGACATGCTTAGTCTTCAGCAAACAATGAGTTTATACCCGCAACGGCCTTAAGGCTTAGGTTGGTTGGGGTTTGTTTTTTTTATTTTAGTCCCCTTCCTGATGCTCCAAAAGACTCAGCCACCCTCACAGCATGTACATACTTAAAGCATAAGTGCACCTAGGATGGGACATGAGAGAAAGAATCCTCTACAGTTGCATAAGGACCAGAGTGCAATTTAATACCCGGAGGAAGACTGCACCCTTCTAACGACAACTTTCTGCATAACCCTAGAGTCCTACCACCACTTGGACAGGAACAAGACAAAATGGCAAACACAAAGGGATTGCTGGAGGCAGCAAATAGTTTCTGGGGTTTGCTTTTCTTTACAATTGCACAAAATGAAAAGAATGCCTCGAAGTTAAGTGTTCTTTCCCATACCAGATTTTTTCTCTTTTTTTCTGTCTGTTTTCAGTTTTACTAATACTGAAAAATAATTACTATTCCACATGACGGTTCAGAATGAAGTCAGGGAGTTCTAGAAAGACAGAGTAATCTAGTCTTCTCTCTCTCAGCCTCCATCTTCGCATGGACAAGAGGACTAGCTCACAGAGCGAAGCTGGACAACAACACTAGCCTCAAGAACTTTGCAGTTGCCTTAGAAGAAGTCTGTATTGAGACCATCGAATCTGGCTTCATGACAAAGGACCTTGCTGCCTGTATCAAAAGCCTACCTAAGTAAGTGTATGAAGTAATTAGCTGTGCTTGAAGGGGGCTGTTTACTTTGTGTTCCTGAAAAGTTATTTTAGTATAGTGAAAAATTGCTGGAGTCTGGTCACAGAACAGGGCTCATCTGTACTCGGTGCTGCACAGACAGAACATGAGATATTCTCTGCCCCAAGTAGCTTAGTCTAGGTTGCTCTATCCCTGCTATTGTACCAAATGCATGGTGGGGAAAAAATAAAGAAGGAACTGCAGAGATTTCTCTTACGACAGGCTGGCCATATTGGCTGGATCTCACCCTGTCCATTTATTAAGATGGAGACCTACTTCACTGCAAAATACCTCCTGGCTACCTCTTCTCTGGAGCTGTAAAGAAAATTTAAAAAAAAAGTCAGCATGATGAGTAGGAGATAACTTTTGGTTTTAGAGGCAAGACTAAAAGTTCTTTGGACAGTCTCCTCCTGCTTTGAGTGGCATTACAATTAATGTCTGTCTCGTTTTCTTCCCTCCCCTCAGCGTCACACGCTCTGACTACCTGAACACCTTTGAGTTCATGGACAAGCTTGCTGAAAACTTGAAGGGGAAACTGGCTTCCCTGCACAGACTTTAAGGCACAGGTTCTACTCAAGCTCATCTAACAGAGCATCTCCCACTTACACCAGAGTGTATGTGGCAACATATCATGCTCTGTTGCATAACATTTCAAATACTAGACAAAAATGACAATGTACACTTTTTAAAATGTTTAAAAGGGCCATGTTTTCTTAAACCTCTTGAGCTGCTGAGCTAGGCCTTCCTTTTGCTAAGCAGCTGAATGTGAATAGTATCAAGCTCACCATGGGTCTGAATCCCTAATGTCATTCTCCATGACCTGTTATGATCTTAGTTTCTTTTCTCTCTTCTTCTCAGACTCAAAGCCAGTCTGTGTCACAGCTCTGGTCAAACCAGTGGTGACTTACTGTCCAACAGACCTTTGAAATCAGGACCGTCCTCATCTCTCCAGTATTGTCCACGGAGTATAAGTGAGCTCACAGGGCTATATGCCAGCTCTACTGCAGCCCAATTTATCTTCTAGTGCCAAGCAGAGCATAGTATCGTGATGCTAAGGGATTTGGTCGCATTGCTACAGTTGGTTGTGTAGTGTTTAAGAAGCACTTAGTAAATGCTGGAAACAAGCCCTATAGGCTAAGAGCCTAATAAAGCCATGCTGCAGTTCTAAATGCAGGCCATGCATTTAGTTATACTCCTCCTGACTGGATGTGAAGCATAGGAACTATTACCTCTTCCCCCACCTCATAATTCATAAAGGTGCAAAATTTTTTCTCCTTTTGTCTGGGCTATTATTTACACTTCCTGTTGTGATACAGCAAGTCAGATTATGACTGTGAAAAACTATTCCATCCATGGATTTGTGTTTGGGATTTTTTTAAATAATACTTTCGTTCAGACTAAAATAAAAGCGAGCTAACATTCTTTGTGTCTTGTCTTCCTTTGTGTGATCAGCAGGTATGGAAAAATTCTGCCTCAGAGACTGCAATACCTTTCAGCACTGTCTAGTATGGGACAGACTGTTGGAAAGTGATATAAACAGAGAATCTCTTCCTTAGAGTTTTAATTTGTTCTGATCTGTTGCAAGATGTGATCTGTAGTGTGGTGGTAAGCATCAGGTAGTGCACACTAATTTAAAGGTACCACTTTTTATTATAAACTCAGACTGATGTATTAGCACTCAACAAAGATCAGAAGCTGGTTGTACATGAGACAGACTCTCATTCTGCAGCTGACTTGATTAGGATACAAATGCAATGTTAGACTAGATCAGCTAGTATTAACATTTGTTTGGGTATGAGCACATGTTTGAAACACAGCTCTACAACTGCTAGCAGTTGTCACTGCCTTCAGTATGAGTGAACACAATAGTCTGATACCCTGTTATTAACACAAGCGTGTAAGATCTGAAGCTGGAAGTTCCCCTATTGCTGACCCATAGAAACAATGGAAACAGTCATCAGGAACATCTGGAGATCTATGTTCCTGCTTGGCTTCTGCCATCAGTAGTTCAAATTATAGTGCCACAGTCAGGCAAGTCATACTAACAGTACCTCTAACAAATTCCCTGTTACTTACCTGGCTTCTGGAGTTACTGAATACCAGAGAAAGCTTAGTACCTTAGTACTGAAAAAATGAGTAAAGGGGCATTTTTAAATCTTACTTTTCATTTGTTTTAATGGCTTAACAGTGTAGCTTAAGTATAAGCAATGTAGTAGCTTTTATCTGACTGCAGATTACACTATTTTCCCTCTGTACTAACAAAGTTTCCACCTTGTGGAGGACTGCAGAGGACTGCAGTCTGTCCTCATGAGCTGACAGATGTTCCTGAAGTGTTGAGGAGAGAAAACTTGTCTCTGTGTTGGGAGAAGAAGTGTGATCATAAAAGCAAAGCTTCCGTCTCCCTGCTCTGCCATGGACAGAGAAAATATTTTTCCTGCTTCCAAAGAGACACATTCCCTTCCCCTTTACTACTACCACAGTCACTTCTTTTCCTCACCCCTCCCTCATTTAATACTAATAACCTTCAAAGTTAGATACCAGCTGACCCTAAAAGCGCCAAGTGCTGGTGGCCAGTGGGCAGTCAATCTGCAATGGAAAAGAGCGCAAGACTTCCTGAAACACAACTGCCTGCTTCACAGTATGTCAGCTGCTTCACAGAGCTCTAGAGCAGGGTCCTTGTAGCTTTGCACCAACACTTGCATCAGCTGACCCCGGCCAAAGTTGTCTTCAATCAAAGAACACACTAGGTTACCTTAAGCGCTGACACTGAAGGAGTTAGATGCACGTAACCGTGTCCTAGGCCAGTCTGCAAGTCCAGAGTTAATGCAAATTGCCGCTGACAGCAAATACAGTGAGTGGGAATGTATCAGGTAACTGATATGGCTCCCTTCCAGAACAGCAGAGAGCTCTGACTTCCAGGGCTGTCCAGAGCTTCAGTAAATGTGATTTCTCCATGGATTGTTCTACCTGTGCAGAAGCTGCCTTTTACTGGGGGGAACACTAGGCAGTACATCAGCATGCCTCTCCTTGCTGCTGCTAAGCCTGGGCTGCTGCAATCCTTTCATACCCTTACAGCAGCCCTTATGGGTACCTGCAAAGCCAGGTCAGCCCTCCAAGGTGTGCATTCTCAATGATTACGTAGGGCCTGGAGAGAACTGGCAGAGCCAGCATGTTGTCTGTGATGCCACAAGCACTTGTGAACAATGACTTTGCAGACAAGCACCCAGGCATTTAAAGGTGCAGGAAGTGGGAGGCAGCAAATAAATGTCACAAAGCTTTTAAACTTGCCACATAGGAGATTTTATTTATACTTTAAAACTAAAATTAAAAAAAAAAAGCTATGCAAAAACATTAGAGATACTCTAGCAAAGATGCACAAGCCACTAGGAGCCTGAGGGATCCCTGCTCAACCACTACTTTACTTTTGGCTCCATGTCTCTTCCCATTGTTATTAGCTTGCCTGCCTTGGCACTGGGACATCCTTCAGGAAGCTGTTCTTTGTCCTTTTCAGTCCTCTTGATAATTTTCTTGGCTTTGTCAGGTCTCTTCTTTTTGGGCTTGCGACGAGGGGAGTGGAGGAAATCTGAGCTTGTAAATGGATCACCCCGCCTCAGTTTGCTGCAGAACCAAAAGGGTTAGATTGATCCATCAAGGGTTTTCCTGAATACAGGTATTACTTCAGTCTCTAAAGTTTCTGGTTTTACTGAAATGCTTCCACTATAAAATGACTGAGTGGTACAGCTTGTTCCTTGCCCAGTACAGGAGAGCTGTACCAGTACAGAATACCTTCTGACCTTCTAACTAACTCCTCACAAAAAGTTGAAACTGTGACACTTGTAACGGAAAATACATGGTACTACCCAGTAGCACAACAACAAAGTCATCATTTTAGGAGTTAAATGATTCTGTACAGTAGCTATTGGATGTATTGAATCTACATTTTCTTAGGGAAAAGATGCAGCTACTTGTTTAAGTACTTGTATCTGCCAGAAAAATCAAATACAGACACAGCCTGCTTACAGGGGAAAACCTTCAAAAGCTAGCATTTTCTTCCCTAAAACCCTATTAAAATAGAAGTATTACTCAATTGTTGTATAAAACTTTAGATATCACAGAATGGCAGCAAGTGAAATCAGAACTTTTGTTTAGCTGTCTTTAGCTTGTATTTTATCCTCATGCTAATCTTTCATTAATGCTGGAGTACCACAGATGCAGTCTGTTAAGAGGTGTTCTCATTTCAGTGAGGGAAAATAACCTCTTTGGTAGGTTGGTACCAGAAGTCTCCACAAGGATCCGCACTAATGTAGAATTCTGGCTTAACCACACTTTGGTGGAAGAGGAGGGTCACAGGAACATGAAGGGTAAGAGGGAGGAACTTAGAAAAGACAAAGGTGACAGGTTCAGCTTCTGGAGAGTGAGCACAGGAGAGCAGAGCAGGGGTTGCAGCATGGGAAGGAATAGTTTAAAGCCCAACCTGTTGATTCTTGGCTCTGCATAGCAGGGTGGGTCCCGTCTCCGTCTGCATGAGTACCTTGACGCTTGTTCCAGGATGGAGGAAGACAAAGTCCTGGCATTGGTCAAGTCCTGTAGTGGTCTGATCTCTGCAAAGGGAGACATTCACACAAGTTGATCAAACTGTTTCCAAATTATTTCCAGATATCTTAAGAAATACAGCTGCCAAACAGAGAAGGGCTGAATTACCAGGTTCCTCTGAATACTGCACAATCCTGAATCCAATCTTCCCTCTAAACTCAGACCATTTTTGTCCAAAAATCCCAGAGCTGCACCTCAAAAGTCAGCTCATGAATCAGATTAGGTTCCTCATTAAAAAAACGCAGGTCACTAATACTGCTCGTTTCATTGGGCCCTGGTATAGCAGAAAAACAATACAGAAATGATAGTTGATAGTTCCAATGCCCAGGAGTTTACAGCCTGGAGGAAAAAGCAAGCTCATGGCACCCGACCAACCTACAAGCCTTCCAGCAAGGCACAAGACTCTGCCAGTGCTTACTGCAGCTTTCAAAGTGAAGTTGGCCAAGAGGGGGAGGGCAGGAGAAGAAATTTCCTCCCTCTCTACAAAGTACAGGCCACTCTAGCTATAACAGGTCTGTCAACAAACAGCTAAAGGAAGGATAAACCTCAAAAATAACTCTCTTTACAGAGTATCCAACAACAGCAAGCTCCCCAAAAGGCTCATCTTAACTATTGTTTTACCAGCTGAGGGATACACTCACAAATCCTTTTAAACAGCAAACAACAAAAATACAACAAAGAATTTGGTGAACTGATGAATACCATCTCAGGATATAAAGTCTGAAACCTTGCAGGACTGACCATTTTGGACCAAAAATCTGCCATCTTCATCATATTCTGTGTCCCAGTAACACTGACTCTAGTAGGCAGGTTCAGCATCAAATTATACTTTTCAACTGCTCAGCTAAGTTATTTTCTAAATTGACAGGCGTGCCCTGTAGATAACAAGAGTGGTAAAACAGAACTTGCAGCACATGCTCCTAGTCTTTTCCCAATATCCACACAGGAACAAGTGACCAGAAATTCTTAAAAGAATGCTGATAAACTAGCAGAAAATGTAGCCACACAAATGACTGGCCAGCACAAGTGGAAGCATAAATGATGTATTGGACACTGATGATTTATTCTGAAAAAAGAGAGGAGGGGAAGAAAAACATAAGCACTTGCTGCAGCATGGATTTTTGGCACACATGCCCAAACACAGGTCCCCTCCCCAGCCTACCACCTACCAGGTTCCTGTGAAGATAAACGCTGAAAACTTGACTCAATGTAGTTTGTTTCCCCAGGTATTTCCTCTGCAGTCTTCTTTTTAAGTATCTGGGAGCTTTCCAGCGAAACAGAGGATTTCTCTGACGTTCTCTTGCCCTCAGTACTTAAGCTCTTGGAAACTGCTACATCTGTAAGCCTAGAGCTGACAGGCAAAGCTGCCAAAGAGGTCTCAGAGGAGGATTCAAGACTGTCTGAGAGGTCCATAAGATTATCCGCAAGCGATATCTCAGCTATCTGCTCCTTCAGGAAGGCATCTATAATGCAGGAAAACTTCCTTGTCAGGACACTTTGCTTGGATGCAAGTTCTGCTGAACTTTCAACAAGCACCTCAGCACCATCACTTTGTCTGTCCTGAGACTCAGTCTCTGGAGATCTAGAGGTGTTCCTCTTTCTCTGAGGCTTTGGTTTGGGACTGACCTCTTTTTTCAAAGCATTCATGTTCTTGTCAACTTCAGCCTGCCCCTTTTCTTGATGGCCTCCTGCTTGGTTTTCACTGCTCCGCACAGCTACCTCCTTCCTCTGAATTCTAGGTATTTTGCTAGCTTTGCTCCCAGAAATAGACTGGGGAGGTATAATTTCATCCCCTTCAGATTCCGTCTGGACACAACCCAAGTTTACTGCAATATCCAAAGGACTGATAACATACGTTTTCCTGCTACGTTTAAGATTATGTAGTGAATCCTTTGTGTCCTTCTTAGCTGCTCCTTGAACATCTATACATGGCTCAAAACCATTTTCATTTCTCTGATCACTACAACTGCTTTTCCCGACGGTCTTCCTTCTGCTTGTCTGTCTTCTTTTAGGCTGTTCTTCAGCTTCAACTTCTGGTATTTTCACACCATTTGGCAGATTCTCCTCATTAGTGCCATCTCTTTGCCTAATTATTCTAGTTTTTCTGTTGGTTTTCTGTCTCATGGTCTTTGTGCTCACACTTGAGTCCTCTTGCAAAGCAAAGTCACTTGAGGTCTCTTTCCTTGAGAAAAGTGGATTTTGTAGAATGGAGTCATCTAGGGGAATTTCGGTACTTGAGAAGATACGAACTGGGCTTTTTGACAAGCTCTCCATACTTTGGATCTTAAAGATACCTTCCTTCCTAACCTGCTGCAGTACGTCACCACTTCCCTCTTGTGCCGCATTCACCACATATGTTCTTCTGAGATGTTGGACTTCATCAGGAGGGCGGAAGTGTTGCTCCACACCACAGCCTCTGTTACTCCTGTCAAAAGCCCCCACACAAACCTTCTGCCTTGTGTCAGAAACTTCAGGCTCATTAGAACATGTTGCGACTTTTGGCTGAGGAAGCTTCTTTGAATTTTGAGCACTCTCTTCACCTTCAGGTATATCAGGCCTATTGTCTGCGCTCTTTTTAATGGCATTTGTTTTCTTTTCTCCTGTGCTTGCTTTCTTAACAGTTCTTTTCTCACTGGTTTTACTACTACCTTTGCTTTTAACCTTTTCAGGAACAAATTCAGGGACTTGACTATAGCTGGGGTCCATTTCAACACCATACCCAGTTTCTTTAGGCTGTGGCTGATCACATAAAATCTCTTTACCCAAAGACCTTCCATCAGGAATAACTGTAGTTGGAGTAGGTGAAACCAGGGAGCTGGGAGATTTCAGCTGTGGCTGTGTGTTGCTTCTGCTCGAGCTGATGCGGTCTTCTGTGATACTCCACCGAGTTGCCTGAGTGCAACTGGCACGTGGGAGGATATCCACACCAGAAGATGGTGTGCTTGTCACAAACAGGGTAGAACGCTTTCTCCTCTGAGTAATATGCCCGTGTGAGAGACGATCAAAAGAACTTTCTGCCATCTCGCCACCCTCATGTGAAAGAGGATGATTTTCCCAGGCACACACTGGCAAACTCTCAGGATTTTGTCTAGTGGCGAATGAGGCCTCTGTTGGAAAAACAAAATTCATTCTTAAGAGTGAGAAATGCAGCAGACAAATGCTAGCTTTCCCCATACCACCAAAAGCCGGGCCCCACACACTTGTCACAAACCCAAACCATTAAAAAGCATGATTTTGTCTCTACAGGGACTCCCCAAACTTACCGTATAACAGAACTTCTCAGCTGGCTCCCCTCAGAACAGAAAGGCACCCCAAAGCAGCCCTAACCCTTAACCAGCCCTAATATTTAGGAATGCTCATGATCTGTATGAGAGTTATCATTTACATGGCAAATCCACAAGAAACAGAAGAATGTGCATCTAGTAAGATTCTGCAAATTCAGACATTTCTAAACATCTTATATAAGCTCACTGCCTGTTCCTCAGAAAGCCTCAAGAGTAATCTTGAGCTACTGCAAACATGCCAGATATATCCACCAAGAAATCCCGTTCTGGGATATATGTAATTCTAGTGAAAACTGAAGTGTGCTGTTCCTAAGTCATGAGGAGCCGCTGGACTGATGGTTAGGAATTAACTGAAGCTATGGCACTGCACTCATTCATTTCTGAACACAGACAAAGTCATATTAGAAGAACAGCAAAAGAGGCAAATTTACCTCCAAAAGCCTCTTGCGCTTCCATTGTCTCAGTTGGTTTCTTCCCATTCTCTTCCTGGTGGAACTGAGGCCTCTCAGCAGGCTGTGGCGGCAAAGTGTCTTCAGAGGCAACAGGCACAATTTCCAGGGCCTCAGAACCATGTCTCTGAAGGTCTGGTGAGGAGGTCTGTACTGCCATGGAGCTGCCACCTTGCTGTCCTGCACCACACACCTTGGAAATGGGCACCCTCATTGGCATCCCTATAGCCCTGGTGAGAAGGAATAACAGCAATGAAGCTGTGACAGGCTCCAGAATCCAGCAGAATAGCTACAGCTTTCACCTCCATCAAGAGTTGCTGAAATACACTTCTGAAGGCTTCAAGTGCTAAAGAACACACTGCCCAGCCAGGGCAGAGTTCCCATTTTTGTGCAAGCACAACTCATAAGGAAAGCACGCTGCTGCAGACACAGAAGCAGGAGGAAAACGTAGAAGCAACAAGAAAGTAAGGCCTTTCAGTGCACTGGTTGCGACCACAGGTTCACCTCGCTGTGAAACACCAATGCAGCTGCTTGGAGGTACATGTGTGGTCAGCTCCAAGGGCTCCCCGGTGTTCAAAGGGGACACTAGACAGAGGTGAAACGGAAATTCAAATATATTTTAAGAGATCCTGCTCTGTGCTCCTTTCAAAACACAAGTTTCCATCACACAAGCAGATGACTATTACGCATTTATATGTAACAACCATCACAGCCGCCAGTTATAACACTCACTCACTCAAGGAAATCTTGCCCTGCTCACCAGCTACCAAGAAAAAACTACCTAAAAGCAATGTGTTCTCAAACAAAGGAGGAAGAAGGACCAGTTTATTCATAGACTTGGCCGTAGGACAAATAAGACAGAATGGGAGCCAAAAGACACAGGAAAGTATCAAGCAGTGGTGGTTTAGGGAAGACATCTCATGTAAAACAGACAACCAGGAGCACATGTAAAACACAAAAGGAAGCTTAGCATATAGAAATTCAGGAAAAGCTTGGTGGTATCTGACATTTTAAGGCCTACCTCACAAGTTGACCATCTACAACATCATCAGCGCAGCTATCTTCAGTCACACTGCTCTTCTGGCCGTTGGATAAGGATGCAGAACTTGTATGGAACTGGAAAGGAGGGAAATAGAAGTGTGGTTTAAAGCTCTTGCAATCCCTTGTGCAGCCTCCTGCACACAAACAGCAGAAGCTCAGTTTCATCCTAGAAAGTATGTGAAATGCTGCCAATGACCCTCTACCATTTAAAAGTGCACAAATTAGGGACAAAATTGCAGCAGAGTCAGATTCTGTCTCCTCAGACTCAAAGATGAAGTTGAAACTAGTTCAGATAATCTGAGATTAAAAACCAGAAATATTTTCCCACCCACACAAGAGACAGGACATATGCAAAGCGTCCTATTCCCTATCCCAAGTTGCCATGGCAACACATAAAAAAGAAATTGAAAAGGTCACAGCCTGTCATAGGAGAAGAGCCTACTAGCCAATACAACTAACAACTCAGAGGAAGGCAGTTTATGTTCTACAGACATACTGCATTCAGCTCTGCAGCCTCCAACAATAAAAGGTCATGGACCTGTTGGAGTGACTTCAGAGGAGGACCACAAAGATGATCAGGGGATTGGAGCACCTCCCGTAGGAGGACAGGCTGAGAGAGTTGGGGCTGTTCAGCATGGAGAAGAGAAGGCTCTGGGGAGACCTTCCAATACGTAGAGGGCTACAGGAAAAATGGGAGGGACTCTTTATCAGGGAGTGTAGTGATAGGACAAGTAACAGCAGATTTAGACTAGATATTAGGAAGAAATTCTTTCCTGCAAGAGTGGTGAGACTCTGAAACAGGTTGCCCAGAGAAGTTCTCAAAGCTTCATCCCTGAAAGTGTTCAAGGCGAGCTTGGATGGGGCTTTGAGCAACCTGGTCTAGTGGGAGGTGTCCCTGTTCACAGCAGGGGCACTGGAACTAGATGATCTTCCAACTCATACAATTCTACGATTCTGTGTTACCCTGGAAACCATTAGGATCAAACTGAAAACAAAGACACTGCCAGCACAGTTCAAGAAAGCAAAGGAAACCAGCTGAAGCATCAAATACCAAAGTGAGAAGAAAATACAAAGCAAAACACAGCCCCCTTCCTGGAGCAGTGTGCTTGCATTTCCCATAACTTACCTCAGACAGCTGGGCCAACTTTACTGCAGCTATCAGGTTTTCAAATTCTTTCAAGGTGTTATTCTGTGTTGAGGTAGTAAAGAGAGAAAAAACATAAAGGCATTAAATCAAAACATCTATTCCATAAGGATGCTGCTAGCCAACACAAGGCATGTTCTTGGGAGAACACAGCTTGTAAGAATGAATATGCAAATCAATGGTGACTTTTTTCATATGCAGAGACTAGGGACCAGTGACAGCTCACTCCTCCCAAGGCTGAGATGCTGGTGCTGCACACCTTGCCCGCTACCCTTCCCCACGCCAGCCACACCGTTAGTGCCATACCAGGAAGGAGAGCTTGTGCCGCAGCACAGCATTCTGGAAGTGGCACTGCTCCACCTCCTTCTGTAAGATGGTGTTCTCCTGGGTGAGCCGCTGTCTGTTGACTTTCTCTGCATTGAGGGCCAGAGCCAGTGCTTTATTGTTGTGCTTTAGGGAGACTTTGATAGTAGAAGAGTTGTCTGTAAGGAACAGAGAAGTATGGCATGGAATCAGCCTCCAAGGTCTCATCCATGCCTCCTCCCTCATCATACTTCTTTTTCTTCCCTGAATAGCCTCTCTCAGGCTCACATCTCTACAATGCGAGATAGCCTGCCCTCCACCTCCAAGTCATCGGTATAATTCCTTCCAGCAACAGAAGTGTCCAGAGAACACCAGGAAAAACTTTACATAATAACCTGCAACACTTCAGGCAGACGCCCCCTCCATCCTCAGCGGGTCATGCTCAGTTGGCAAGCTACTGGTTCAGTTCTTACCGAATGATGGCATGGCTCAGGTGGTGAGTTTACAAAAGACACGCTTCTGATTTTGAACAAGTCACCTACAGCTCTGTATCCTCATCTCCACCCAAAAAAAAGAAAGAAAACCGTACTTTTCCCCGTAGTAGCTCTTGAGCAGATTTAAATCCACGTTTCCCAATTTCAAAATAAATTAACAGAAACGTCTAACTTTTGCATCATGCACTATTGTTTTGCAGGGTACTGAACCCACCAGAAACCCGCAGCCAGAGAAGCAGCTGTTCAGTATAAGATGAACACGGCCACGGGCACAGTTATAAGCTGACGTAGCTGCCAGCCTCTGCAAAGCAAAACACACTCACTAATGATTTTTGTTTTGATTTTTGTCGCGAGCGAGGCATTCAACTTCGCGGTCCTCAAGGCACCCTTCTTCTTCTCCCGCATCCGCTCTCTCACACCGCTCAGGCTGAAGAGGGAGGTTTCGGCCGCCTCCAGCGATGCCATGGCTGGGGAGAGCAACACCGGGCAAGGTTAGAACCGCTGTTCTTCCCTCCGGCAAGCGCTGGCCGGCGAAGACTTTACTACACTCCCCCCCGCCCAGTAACGTCTCTGAGGGCTCGCCCCCGCCCCGCCGACCCC